TCTCTATACAGCTTGCCACCAGCCTAATTGAAAACAAAACAGAATAAAGAAAATAATAAAAAAAACAAACGAGCAAAAGGAACAAATACAATAATGTAGGAAATAATAGACCATATTTATCAGCGTCTCAACTGTTGTGTCTCCTGAGAGCATTAACGGAAATAACCATGTTGTATCTCCACGCTTTCTTCACTTTTTGTACAAAGGATGTGTCTTAACCTGTACAAAAGATTTACTTCCATACTGAACTAATATCTTCACGCACAACTTTCTGTGTTAGATGACTGATCCAGTGGCCTTCTATAATGGAGTGACTCCATCAGTGAACGAGGGAAGAGCTATGGACGTCATCTACCTGGACTTCTGTAAGGCCTTTGATACAGCCCCCCACAACATTCTTCCTGCTAGATTGGAAAGATATGGGCTTAATGGATGGACAGTTACGTGGGTAAGGAATTGGCTGGATGACCTTGTCCAAAGAATTACAGTCAATGGCTCAATGTGCAAGTGGAAACAAGTAATGAGTGGTTTCCCTCAAGGGTCCATACTGGGTGGGAGACAAAAACATAATTGAGATTGTGTTCATACTCACCCTCAGCTCTGCCAGGTTACTTTTCAAATATATCTCCCAGTCCTACTTTTAAAGGAGCAAATGCTGAGGCTTCCACTACTCTCACTGAGACTATCTTTCAGCCATATGAGAAACTTACTGATAAAAAGTATTTCCTGGTAGTTAGTTAACTTGTCCCATTTGTTCAGATTTATCCCATTGTTCTTTTTAAATCTTTGTAAATCTTTGTTCAGATTTATCCCACATATCTCGTCAAAAACCCTACTTTCACTGCAGGCATGAGTCTCTTTTCAATGCGTACAGAAAAGTATGGTATATCCGATATTTCTCTTCTTTACTTTCTGGAGAAGTTGACCTTAATTCTCATCTTCTTCCACATGTTTGAAGAATATTTTGAGAAAAAATTGCTCTGCTAGATAGCATTGATTAAATTTGAGTTCTGGAAAAACAATAATACAAAACTCCTCACTTGTGATTTTTCAAACTAGCCTGCACAAAGCCCGGCAGAGCACATTGAGAACAACCCCACAGCTGAGAACAGATTTGGTCTGTATGCAGCAATCCTCGTACTAGTAAGCAAGCTCAATCTTCAAGCGGCACAGTAACGTACCTTGGCTGTCCACACCAGACCGCTCACCAAAACTGCATAGAGCAAGGCTTTGCCACAGAGAATGAGGTACGTGAGCTTCAGAGAATTTCCATACCACAGGTAGGACTCTGCAAATCAAACATCATTTGTGCATGTAATTATCATCAGTACAAGAGACTAGATCGAAAATAGCTTTAATCAAACAAGAACACTTAAAATCTTTAGCTCAGCGGCACAAAGGAAAGAGAACCAAATTAAGGGCTCTGCTGACAGGAGATAGCAGGGAATGGGAAAAAGCACCTTGTTTCAGAGAAGCAAAAGAGCAAGTGGGTCTAGGAAAGAAAGAGATTGGCTTTATGCTAAGAAAGCATGTCCTCATTTGGAATGTTTAACCGTTGTGTTGCCACACCTGCTGAAAAACTGTTCATGTGAATCCCTTCTTAGGAACTCAAATTAAGCTGGATCACAAAATATGATTTTTTTTGACTTCTTATTGACAGTGGCCTTGTGAGTGCTGCTGGTATTTCAGGGAAGTTTTACATAGCCTGGAATAACATGGTACCTAGAACTTTTATTCTTACAGATTTTTTGCTTTTAAGGAATTGCAGTGGTATTGAGACACTAGGCCTGATATTTGTTCAGCCTTAAGATTCCTGAAGTATTAAAGAATTTGGTGAAAAACACAAGTGTGTAAATAGGTGTACATAAAGGAAAGAAACATAATTTTTAATATGGGTATCTTCACAGTTTGGAGGGGAATGTGACTCATAATGAGAAGTATTCTGAATTCGATACTAAGAGATATTCAGAATTATGGATTCTGAGTCTTGATGTCATAATGACGTGGCTAAGTATGAATCTTTTCTTTCATGGCTTTCAAATCACAATTTTCATTTCTTTCATATTACGCTCTGTAGGAAGGTTCCATATCTCGAAAGGCAATCATAAAGAACAGCTAAAAAACCAAAATACAGCTACATATAGCATGAACATATAACCCTCTTGAAGCATACGAGCCAGTTAGATGAGGAGGTAGCAGTTATTGTTGTAGCAGAACTCTCACACACCTTGTACTTAGCATCAGTAAAACTAGTAATAAAAATACATACAGATATTTGTCTGTAAGAAGACACACATACCTTCTGTGAGTGCACAGCCTGAAAGACAAAAACGAACTGAAAGTCAAGTTTCTCTTCAACACGAACAGAACACAAATGTTAGCAGTTTCAGTTTACAATATACTGCCCAATTCATTTTATGGTACTATATATTTTACTATACTACGGAGATTTCTCAGTGAAAATCTGAAGAAATCTTTGAAAAAATGTAGGTGTATAATGACAACGTGGATAAAGAGTCCCAGGAATATGAAGAGATATATGCAAATACTGACATATTTCCATATGTATTTGTGCTATAACAACAGCTTTTATAAAAGCTGTAGATAGATATGTTTCACATCATAACCCACAGCCTTTTGATTTGTGATTTCTATTTTGTACAGCGTGGTGATACACATTTTTTACTTACCAGCATCACCGTAGATTAATTTGTGTATCGATTCTGCTGTTCCATTCTTAAAAAAATTGGCAACACACTCAAAACGGTTCACAGGGTTGAACCATTCCTGGGCTGAGATCCTCAGTCGGCTGGTCAATGAGTAGGTACTCCCGTTTTGTGTGGAAGACTCATCTGTCCCCACCCCTTCTGTCCTCTTAGCACCATTCACCTTCCAGACCAGACCCAGGTGGTCAGGGTAGAAACCAGAGGCCAGGCATACCAGTGTGGCCTTGCTCTTCTGTTGGATCTCTTGCTTTGATGGGGAAAAGATGGCGACAGCTGGAGGTATGATTTCATCGTTCTTCCCTGAAATGGAAAGTAACATGGCCCGGAGCCTCCGTCACTGTCTTGAATCAGAAACTCCTTGAGATTGTACTGTATTTATTTGTGCTGTGTGACCGCTGATATAGCTGGCCTTTTAACAACTGTCTATTAGACAATACCTATTAGATAGGTAGACACCAGGAAACTGAAAGCATTTGTCTTCACTTAGTACACAAAATGTAAGCTGCCTGGCTACAGAAATGCATGAATGTTTGATTTTCTAGTATTGTCTTTGTCAGAAGACTAGGAAAGCTGAAAAGCAGCTGAGGAAACAAGTAAGCAGAAGAACACCAAGTAGTGCTTTAAGGCCTGTATTTGTGATATTGTGCTCATAGACAAGAGTCTGTGTCATAACACACAAGCATCTTCAACTGACTGTGTTACATTCCTGGAGAAGTAGTGAAGACATGATGGTTATTGCAGCGTTCAGAATTGCACTGCCTTGTGATACCCTGCTTGGACCCCCCATCTAAGAGGCTACTTGACAGCAAGGAGCTAATCTTTCTCGCTGTCTGAAGTGAAGAACACTTCAGGTGTCACCTCAATCTGCCTGGGACAAGTTTTGCTTTAGGTCTCAACTTGCCATCCTTTTTTAAGACTATGAAATATCTCTTGATGTTATTTCTTATTCAGGTTGACCTAGGTGTGAGAAGCCCTCATTCTAGGACATCTTCCCCAAATGATGCAAGATTCTATACACTCACAGAAGATGTCATTTGTCCTAAAGTGTTTAATACCTACGTACCAGACTAAAGACAATTGTCTTCTACAGTCAAAAGGATGTACAAGGCAACAATGAGATGTTACTCAGAAGTTAGGCAGTGACCCTAAAAGCCACCATTTTTTTTTCCATATACTTTATTAGAGTCCGTTTTTGACTCATCTAGCATGATAAACCCACCAGGTCTGCAGAGTGCACATGGAAACAGAAATGCAGAGAGAACTGTGGAGCCGAAGAGAAAATTTTTACTTTTTTCAGTGTGAAGGCGCTATAAATTATAGCTGCGCTTCCTGATCACTCCCTCCTCTCTAGAGTGGAGAGATTTAGCAGAATTAGGAGAGACTTTTATCTTGCATAGATCTTGACCCCTAATCCCTAATTTTTGCTTTCAACTGTTAGCCTTAATCAGGGTTGTCAGTGCTTACTGTACAAAGATCCATGGAGTGCTTCTGTGAAAACGTGTGAGCTTGTACAGATTTCAGAAGAGAGTAACTACATAGCAATGGAGATCACTCCCAAGAAGGTTTGGCACTGCTCTTCTTTGCATCTTGTGGACATGAGGAGAGGCTGATCACTTTTACTGCTCCCTTCTAGTACTTGGCATTATGAATTTTTTTTCCTATCCTAAAAGTATCTCTGACATAAGTTCATTGGCTCATAGTCTAAATGGCTAATGAGTGAAGATGTGGAAACAGAAGGGAGGACACAAAAGAAAAATGAGAGAGATTTAACAGATTAAACCAAAAAAAAAAAAAAAAGACAAAGAGGAAGGCAGGTGAAAAAGGCAGACAGAAAAAATGATCAAACTACTGGAAAGACAAAGAAAGCCAGGGAATGAGCGTGCTTGAAATAGAATAAGAAACTGGTACAAGCAAGAGCAGAGACAAACAGAAAAAAGTGTTATCAACAGCCCATTCTGTTCTGATCTTCCACAGTGTTCATTGCAGACGCTGGCGTAATGCTTAATCACTTCCATGCATAAACTCATGCATTCTCTGTCACACGTTCTTCACCCGCTTAAGACAAAAAGTACCAGAGTTCTTCCATTCCCATCATGGCAAAGCCAGTTTCATGATTTCTTGTTACCTTTCACTCCTACTCCCATTTTAAAATCGCCTGTGTATATGCTACATAGCATTAACGCAAGGGAAATTTTCAAGTGTCCTCCACATTGAGCACTTGGGTTAATCCCAGCTCCTTACCTATAACTCTGAGCACGGTGCCAACTCCAAAGGTAGGAAAGCACAGCTGTACGTGATCAGACTATAACCCTCTGTGTTATTAAGCTCTTCTTGCCAGTCACTTAGTTCCTTAAAGCGGTGCTGTTAAAGGAGCAGGCACCTGTGTGCTATCAGGTGTGGCGGTAGGCAGGCGGAAAAGGTCATTTTGCCCTGTGATTCTGAAATGCCTTGATAGAGGTGATGTTAAATCCTTTCCTGGGAGGGGAGAAGGCAGAGAAAGCAAATGGGGGAAAAGAGAAAGAATAGTGGAGAAAAGTGCACTGAAAGAAAAAGAATATAGACCTTTTTAAGAATTAGAAGTCATGAAAAGGACAGTTAGAGGAAGCCAGTGTCCCAAGGCAACTTTGGGCAGCCTGTCCCCCATCTATGGAGAGTGCGGAGCAAGCTTCCTTTTCCCCTGCCTGATTCAGCCGACACAAGAATGCAGACTCCACCTCTAAAATTCTTTTTTTGGTTGTTACGTAGATGAGCTACAAAAACTTGCAGTCCGAAGAAGGATCTTTCATTCCCAACCTCTATAACGTTTTGTTGGAGAATCGGAAGAAACAGAACTATTTCTTTGTTGCTCCCTGCATGTGGTTCCCAGTGAGTGAAGACAGAGCCAACAGACACAAGGGTCACAGAATTCATGCCTGCAAATCCTACGCTTCCATATTAGCACATCTCATTTTAATAAGCAAGCAATAAAGCATTAAATCTGTCCTCATGGCTGTATGAAAAATGGTCATTACTCTGCTGTTAACTGAGAATGCTCTTGTCCCCTAAACCCGTATCACATATATCATGGAGATCAGACTTCTGTCTTACCTAGGACTGTGAGTTTTGTCCCACTGCCAAAGTACAGTCTTTCATTATTCACATTGTTTTGCAGCTGCAGGAAAAGCTCTCCTCTACTCTCAGTCCTGTGAGCAAAACCTGTGCACTAACCCTCCCCTCATGTGGTAGTAGCAAAAGAAAAAACACAAAATACATTAATTTGTGGTCCCCTAAAAAAAAAGAAAGGTCTGTAAGGGAACACCACCACATCTGTGTGTCTAACCAGGTGAGATCAACCTCAGAAATACCTCTTCCAGAGCCCTTTTTCTTCATGCTTATGCGAATTGGTTGTTGCAGCTTTCACCATTTCTTTAGAGGACATTTATCTGTTTATCTAGATATACTGTTAGAAAACGCTTCCCATACTCAGAGTGAGCAATTTTCTTCGCTTATTTTCAACTGAAGAGCCTCATTTCCTTAAGTTCCTCATTTTCTTTCAACATCCTGGATATTCTTCTCTTGTGAAATAAATGGTTTGTTTTTACTTACAAAATAACTGGTAATATATAACACAGGATTCTGTTCCACTATCCCTATTGTAGCAGTTCCTAAGCTTCCCTCTCTTTCTCCTTCACTGGAAGGAAATCTCTGCTTTTATTCTCTCTGTTCTCTTAGAAATGAAGGCTAAAGTTAGCTGCATAATTGACTATGGTCAATGAGGGATCAGTGTATTGATTTTCATCAGCTCAGGCACCTTATAATCATACTGGATTTCAAAACATGTACTGATCACTGAATTTTTCCTATGGAGATTGAGTTATATCACTTGTAATAATTTTACTTTGCAGTGGAACCGTGTGGTACAAAAGCCTGAGGCAGCAATTCTTCTGACTCCAGGAGCTATACAAAGAGAAGAAGAGATCACCATCACGGACATAAGCCGACAACGTGCGCTCGCAGCCCAGAAAGCCAGCGGTGTACTGGGCTGCATCAAAAGCAGCCTGGCCGGCAGGTCAATGGGGAGGTGATTCTGCCCCTCTGCTCTGCTCTGGTGAGACCCTGCCTGGAGTCCTGCGTCCAGTTATGGAGCCCTCAGTACGGGAAAGACATGGACATGTGGGATTGGAAAATGATCAGAGGGCTGGAGCACCTCTCCTAATGAAGAAGAATGAGTGCTGTTCAGCCTGGAGAAAAGAAGGCTCTGGGGACTTCTTGTTGTGGCCTTTCAGTACTTACAGCGGGCTTATAAGAAAGAAGAGGACAAACTTTTTACCAGGGCCTGTTGTGACAGGACAAGGGGTAATGGTTTTAAACTAAAAGAGGGTAGATTTAGACTAGGCAGAAGGAAGAAATTCCTTGCAATGAGTGTGGTGAAACACTGGCGTAGGTTGCTCAGAGAGGGGGTAGGTGTCCCATCCCTGGAAACATTCAAAGTCAGTTTGGACGGGACTCTGAGCAATCTGATGTAGTTGTAGATGTCCCTGCTCATTGAACAGGAGTTGGACTAGATGACCTCTAAAGGTTCCTTCCAGCCCAAATTTTTCTATGGTCCTATCATACTATGATTTATCAGTCTTGGAAGCAGCCTAGTGTTCCCCTGGGTTCGGACTCTTTCCAAATCCAGCAGTGTGGCCCAGAGAGAAACAACTCCCCTAGAGCCACTTTTATCTGAAATGACTTTTTATCTTAATGACTTTTTTTTTTCTGTGGTTTTCAGTGGCCTTTGAGCATCTCTTCTGCAGCAGTAAGACCGTTGTCCTGAATGATCTTTTTATCACCATCCTGACGATTCGGTTTTGTGGAAAGAAACTTGCTGTTTCGTGGAGAGTTGTTTTCTATAACAATAAGGAATTAAACAGCTGCAGAGAGGTGTTAGAATTTCTTAGGTTAACACTGAGTATTTATTTGTGGCTTCTGTTTTGTCGAGTAAAAATGCTAGCACATGTATTTTTCTTTCCCAGTTATCTCAGATAACACATGCTTTAGTTTACTCTGAAAAGATCCCAAGTAATTCAAGTGTGTAGAGTCTTGATTTTGTTTTCTAGACCTGTCCAAACTGTAACTGTAATTCCGTTCTTTCCAGACTGATAGCCTTTCAGTGACTTCTCCTTAATCACCTCTCCCCAGGAGAACTAGCATTATGGAGAATAGTTGTACTTTTGGGGTATAGTGATTTTTGCAGATGCTGATTTCTGAAGACAATACATTTAGGATACGCACATATTTTTTAACGCATTCCTCATCCTAATTCTTTCTATGGACAGCCTTTTATTCCCTGAAAATACGTTCAACTCTCCAAAGTGAAATATGTGTTCCTACCTAGAGTACTAAACTTAGTCTATTCTCCAAAACAGACTGGGTTACTAGCACATCAATAAACATCAGTTTAATAATGAAAGGGAGAATAAGGTTGAAGTGAAGTTCTCTAGAGAGAAGACCTAGGATTTGAAGTGATTTAAAAGAGAAAACGAAAATTTCTTACCCATTACTGTAAGTTTCGTGCCATCGCCGAAAGCTAGGTTATTGTTGGCCACGGTGACAAAGTGTTGTATCATAAGCTAATAAAAGGGATGCACTGCTCCTGACTTTAGTAAGCAGAAGTTTAGGCAATGTTTACTGTGTCTGGAATCCCAAAGATCCCTCAGTTTCTGTCTGAAGGGCTTTGGCAGAAAACAATCTTGAAATCCTGTTGTATAATCTGTAGCATTTATAAAAGCATTTCCCAGAGATTTTTTGATACTTGTTGTCTACATTTCACCTCCAGTTGTTTTACAAACTTTCTCTAATCTCCATGCTATCTCATTGATATTACCTGCTATTCTCATTTTGCAGATGTAGAAACTGTGTAGATGTACCCAAAGTGGTAGAGGCTGTCATTGTCTAGAAATATAATTCCTCTACAACTAGAGCTTCCTTGCTGTCAGTCTTGTACTCTAAGCATTGTGAAGCCTTCCTTTCTGTAACTCGTGGAGTTAATAATCAAATAATACTTGTGTTGTGGTTGTCATACTCACATGTCTTTTCATATAGTTTGTTTGCCTTTGTGGCACTGAACTAAAACAAATCCATTTGTTTTCCTTTCAACGGCAGGCCAGCCATCTTGAGTAGTCTTTCAGGACACCATTCAATTTTCCGATAGGTTATAAGTAATCCACACGAGGAGAGTCCAGAGGAATCAGTTGACTGGTCTCAGGCAAACCCTTGATAGCCATTAGGAAGAACTGTAGTGAGGCAGTGAGGAGAAGGATTAGAGAAGACCTTCGTCCTCACAGGCATGAGTCAGTCAGTCAACACTGGGGGCTTATTTAAGAGAGAAAATCCCAATATATTTTATACAATGCCTCTGAAAGATACCTGCTACATGTCAGAATTCCTTTTCCAACATTTTCACCACATTAATAAAGAACCATTTTGAGGTCTATTGCAAACACTATCGCATCAGAAAAAAACACAAATTCTCTGCTTCACGTGCTCTGGTAGGTTTTGTGTGCATCTGCAGTCAATCTGGTTTGCTGAAAATTATTTCAATGTGTTGGAATCTCCTAGGTGTATTTTCCAGAGGGGGTAGGCTTGGTTCTCAGATGCTGAAAGTAAGTCCTAGCATACTAGGTCTGCCAAGAAAACCCATGCCTGCTGTGCTGCGGATTTCTCTGTAGCTGTCTTAACGCACTCTCCCACAAGGCTTACTCACATCAGGGTTTTTGTAAAGGCCTTGTGGGGAATGTATCATTGTGGATCCCCTGTCCCCACAACGATACAGCCTCGTACAAAAACAATCCCACCCGTGGTTCTGCCCTCCCATTTTTGTCACCCAGTCACCAAGAAAGATTGCCGTGGGAACCACAGGCCACATCCTTCCTCTGCCATTGCTGTTACTGTGGGATAATCTGATTACCTCTTCGTGTATTCAATATCCCTGAATTTAAAATCCAAACATTTTTTTCCTATAAACAAAAAAGTAATATATTTTTTCCTTTATTAGCTGGTTTTAAATGAAGTTATTTTTCACTTGGTAACTTCATGACAGTGTTCATGATGCTTTCCTTACCACTCTTTTTTTTTTCTGTCCCAGGATGATAAACAGACCTCAAGCCCACAGTACCTGGTTTCTATTGAGAGTGATTTGCTTACTACAGACTGGTGTTTCTGTTTTTGTAGCTTGGCCTGATTGTGAAGGTCCTCTTCGGTCTGTGCTGCACTCGTCACAGTTGCACCGAAAGGGAGGGAAGGAGGATGCTGAGCTCTCAAGTTTGCATTCCTCTGCCCTGTTCCAGGAAGCAGCAGTACAGGCTTCTTCCAGGTGCCTGCCACCCTGACTATGAAAAGGCTTCATTCAGGAGTAAGAGCATGCCTTCATTCTGGAGGCTGTCTGAAGAGGATGGGGACTGGCAGTGACAGGTAATAGGATACTTTTATGTCCCTCCCTTACACATAACTAAAAGGAGGCACAAAACTGTATTTTTTTACCCCATAGGTTTGTCCGGGTATGATGTGACTCCCAAGAGGGAGAGATCTGTGCCAGCACACACTGAGGCAATACAGGGAAAGACAGGCACACGAACAAACCAGTTTCAGTTTGGGGCATTCGCAGCCCATCCTGGCCCAGTCCTCTCAGGTAAAAGGTCGACACATCGTCAGCAACATGACCAAATACCTGCAGTAAACGTGTTGTTCCTATTGCATTGTAATGGTGTAATTTCAGTACACAGTCTTGTTATAAAAAATAGACTATAACTACAGGACAAAATCCTCTGAAGCAAGGTAATTCTACTAGGAAAGTCACAAATTATTTTCTCTTGTTTTCAGATATCACAGAAGAACCCATATTTTCTGATACACCCTGTTGAGCTGCAAACAGCTGTTAGCATCCCAGGGAAGGGAACAAGAAATGTAGACTAAACCGAAACATTTAGGACCAAGCCATACGACTACAGGAGGCAAGGTACTAGACAGGTGATTGCAGGTGCCCCTACAGTATCCTCTTGTCTACAACAGCAAAACTGTGTGCTTAAATCACTAATTATGGGAATGGGGGCAGATGTTTGTCTTTGTTTAGATTAAATTCTTTTTAAAAATACATTTAGTATCTGATTTGTCTGGCTCTGCCTCAGTAATAACACTAATAGTGGGATATTATTCGCCTGGCTTGGTCTTAGTTTGCCTCTGATCACAGCACTGTTTATTCAGGGTCTAAAACCATTCTACTAAAATTCATCAAAGATTATTCTGTCTCCTTCTTCAGTCTACAGCTCCATTAGTGTCCTTGCTGTCGCTAACAGATTTTCTCCCACATGGTGTCTTTCCTTTAAAAACAAGCAAATCACCTCTGTAATAATTTTGAAGGAGCAGTTCTATATGGTGCTAACATCTCCTCAGGGCATGTTCATCAGGCAATTTCCAAGACATGCCAGCAGAGACCAGTCGTGTCCCACTTTAATGTTTATCTGTAACCAGTCAAAAGGAAAGGCCTTGTAGGCTGTGAATTCAAAGGAGTGAGAGGGAGAGAAGAAACGAAAGACCATTCCTTGATTTTTATTTCCATGACTCTCATAGGAGGCTTCATTGGCCAAGTGACATAAAAATTCAGACAATGAGGAAAGATGAGAATATGCAAACAAGAGATATTTAGGGCTATATTTTCAAGCAATGGTATTTTAGTGGGGGAATTTAACAGGAAAGTAATGATCATATCACTTACATTAGTCCTGGATTCTACTTTAGAATTCACAGAAGCAGACAGAACTACAGAGACACCTTGAGCTTTACAGATTTGTCTTAGGGGCACTAAGAAGTTCTTTTCATAAACATTCAGTACTTTTGACCACGAATCCCTAATATTAAGCAGCAGCCCCTTTTCAGGGCATATCTACGTGCTGAAAAGATGATGAAAGGAGAGGTTGTGTAAAATCACATCCTGTGGTGGGTTGACCTTGGCTGGCTCCCTGCTGCCCACCAAGCCCCTCTGTCGATACCCCTCCTCAGCACGATGGGGGGAAGAAAATAAGATGAAAAAGAACTCATGGGTTGAGATAAAGGCAGTTAAATAAAGAAAAAGCAAAGGCTGTGTGCAGAAGCAAAAGAAAACAAAAAGCTTTACTCTCTATTTCGCATCAGTAGGAGATGTTCAGGCACCTCCTGGGAAGCAGGGTCTCAGTAGACATAGCAGTTACTCCAGAAGACAAACGCCATAATAACGAATATCTCCTCTCCTCCTGCTTTCTCTTAGCTTTTTATTGCTGAGCATGACATCATATGGTGTGGAATATTCCTCTGGTCAGACTGGGTAAGCTGTTGGTGCTGTGTCCCCTGCCAACCTCTTGCCCACCCTCAGCCTACAGGCCTTTGGAGCAGGGGCAGGGGTGAGGGGTGGGGTGGTGTCAGGTTTGGAGAGACAGCCTTGATGCTGTGCAAACCCTGCTCAGAAGTAGCCGAAACACTGGTGTGTTATCAGCACCTCAATAGCTACAACTACAAAGCACGGCACTATGAGGGCTGCTATGGGGAAAGCTAACTCCATCTCAGCCAGACCCAACACACATCCCCATGCAGACAGTGATCCTGTACCATCCTATGTGTGTATATTTCCTTTATTTCCTTCCCTTTGTTTCCCTTCTCTTCCAGCCTGTGCCTACTTAAACTTCTTGTTAGAGGCCATTGATTTGCACCCAAATTGTTGTGCTAAAGAGCGATATTGTTGCCCAAATGTTCATCTTCTGCTCCCAACCCTATACCTGTATTGGATGGTTAACAGAAGGTTATTTGTCCTGTTATTTCTGTTCTGAGTCAGTTCTTGTCTCACAGGAAGCCTGAGAAACAGCAGCTGTGGTGGGAAACATCTTCTGTTTAACATCTTCATTAATGAGCTGGATGATGGGGAAGAGCATACCTTCAGCAACTTTGCAGACAATACCAAACTGGGAGGAGTGGCTGACACACCACAGGGTCACGCTGCCATCCACAGGGACCGCAACAGGCTGGGGAGATGGGCCAACAATAACCTCCTGAAGTTAAACAAGGGGAAGTGCAAAGTCCTGCACCTGGGAAGGAATAATCCCATGAACCAGTCACTGGGCACAACCCAGTTGGAAAGCATCTTGGCAGAAAAGGACCTGAAGCTCCTGGTAGACAGCAGATTGAGCATCAGCCATCAATGTGCCCTTGCTGCAAAGCACTCAAATGGTATTATGGGCTGCATTAGACAAAATATTGCCAGCAGATCGAGGGAATTGATCCTTCCCCTTTATTCAGCACTGCTAAGGCCACATCTGGAGTACTGTGTCCAATTCTGGGCTCTTCACTACAAGAGAGACATGGACATGCTGGAGAGCATTCAACGAAGGGCTACAAAGTTGATGAAGGGAATGGAGAAGCTCACATAGGGGAGGCTGAAAGATCTGGGACTTTTTAGCCTAGAGAGAGAAGGCTCAGGGATTTGATTAATGTATATAAGTACCTGATGGGAAGATGTAAAGAAGATGGAGGCAGGATCCTTCAGTGGCGCCCAGTGAAGGACCAGCAGCAATGGGCACAAACTGAAATGCAGGAGGTTCCTTCTGAACACAAGGAAACGCTTTTTTACTGTGATGATGGCTGAGCACTGGACTAGGTTTCCTAAGGTGGTTGTGGAGTGTCCATGCTTAGGGATATTCAAAAGCTGTCTAGACACAGTCTTGGATCACTGCTTTAGGTGGCCCTGCTTGAGCAGGGGGTTTGGACAAGGTGACCTTCAGAGGCTCCTGCCAACCTCAACCATTCTGTGATTCTATGATTCTGCAACACATAGATAGCGAAATTATTCTGCTATTCATGACGAATATACAGCTGTTTACACAGATGTGCCTGGGATGTCACTGCTGAGCAGCTAAAACAAGTACCTTTGACTATGTTTTCTGCCACCTGCTACAGCAGTGGACAAAGGAGAGTAAATATGAGGACAGGGAGTGCGACAAGGAGGAGAATAACTGTTTCACGAGAAACTCCTTAGAATAACTGTTTTTTCTGCAGTGCCACTTCAAGCTGGCAAAAGAAGTACTGCATAGGAGAGAATTGTACCTCAGAGCTGGAATAGGGAACTGCGACTGCAGAGCTTCAAGATGGCAATGACCGCTAGAGAACTCTGTGGTGTTCTGCTACCACTTGGAAAATGCACAGCTGTGACCAGTCAATAGCCAGGTAATTAATCTGCTGAACGTTGAAGGCTACCGACAGGTTTGTTTTCACAGGGCCTTAAGATTGCATTTGCCACTCTAAACTAAAAATGCTCGAGTTGAGAAACAGAAAGGGGCCCTTCCTCTGTTGTGTTCCCAGAGCTGATAAAGCTGGTTTTCCATGTTTTTGCAAGAGGTCTGAGCTAGGACTGTAACGTTATGTTTTTCAGGAACTGGTAGTTTACGAACAGAGAATTAAAAAAAAAAAATCACCCCAAATTCAGTCCCAAAGTTACCACCATGATGTTCATGTTCCTTAATGATCCCTGCATAAAATACTTTCCCTAAAACTTTCACCTCAGCTCCCTCCACTCTCCCTGGAGACTGTCTTTAAGCCCCCCGAAGCCTCTCCCTTTCTCCTTCCCTCTCCCCCTCACTCTCCTGGTTTCCCTGTCCCTTCTCCACCAAAACTGGACACTGTATCTTAGGCACCACAGCCTCCCTTGGCCACACACCTCTCTAGATGCCTGGGTTCTGTGCTTTGGACAAGAAAGAAAGAGGAGGGCAGGAAAAAATATCTATCCAGGCAGCTGGAGAATTCCCAGGACCAATGGAAATTTCACTCAAAGGCTGGGGAAGGAAATGTGCATCACAATCCGTTGCTCTCTGGATCATATCTGAAGATTTATCCAAGCAATACAGGAACAAGCTGTAAGGGAAGGAAGGCAGGGAGGATCTCTAGATGGGGATCCTTTCTGAGAGATCCAAGTCCCTGAACGCAGGAGGAGTCATCTGGAAAGAGATGCTCTGAGGAGTCTTTAAGTTGCCTAGGAAAGCTAGGTATTTTATTCCCCGAGCAAGCCCCTTGCAGAACCAGGAACCTTCATGGCAAATGTTCCCATGATTTAAGACCCATCCTTGATTCTAATCTCAGCCTGAACAAGAACAACACAGCAGCACTGTCAGACAAACCCACCTTCTAACATACATCTTTGCCAGGTCACCTCGACCTGACCTCTCCCATCCTGCTCAAAAGGGGCTGAGCTGCTCTCTGAAACCCATCTCTGCTCCAGAAAATGCAGGGATGATTTTGGGTAAGTCTCCAAACCTTTTCGCAGGACTTTGGGTCATGGGAGAAACTCTGGCAGATGGGTGAGAGTCCAGAGGGCTCCACACTTTTGGTCTCTTACCAGAAAGGAGTAGGAGGGAACTGTCCCACACCAGGCAGTTCCTGGGGACAAGGGAGTTCACATGGGTGTCCCTCAACCTCATAGCCCTCAATGGATTTTTATTCCACAAATGTGTCCCCTCATTTTTTGAGGCCATGTACATATTTTACATCCACAAAAACCTGTGGAAAGGGGTTCACAGCTTTCCTGAAAGAGGAGGAATTGTCCTTTGCTTGTTTTGAACCTGCCAAATGTCCTAGCTTTGTTTGATACCCCCTAATTCCTGTACAGCAAGAGACAGTAAGAAACCCGTCCTTCCCAGTCTCCCCAGGCCACTCATGATTTTACACGCCCCTGTCACATCCTACATCCTCTGTCTCTCTACGTGACAGAGAGTCCAAGGCTCTGACACGGGTGGAAACAGAAGAAAAGCAGCATGCTGTGCCATTGGGCAAAGAGAAACGCAGGCAGAGAGGAAAAGGGAAGAGGCTGTGACAGAAGGTTTGCCCAGCTGTGGAGAGCTGGAGGATCAGAAGCTTTGGAGAACGTACCAGCTGCTCCCAGGCAGGAGACAATTGGGAAGAGAGAATCAAAGGTCCCTCCACCACCAAGCTCTGTGAGATCTACAAGGACTGGCCTCAGAAACTCCTCTGCTTCATGCTCCTGGGAAGCTTTCTCCGTCTCAGCCCATGGTCTCACAGGTTTGCCTTTCTCAGGATCTTGCGTCAGCCTGGACTAATGTATTTACTTTATCTGAGTCCAGTGATGATACAGCTGACTGAAATACTTGAACTTGGAACGCGACCTTCTAGAAATGCAAGCTCCCGTTGCTTGTCCATGGATAATATCCAACACAGCTGCCCTCCATTCACCTGTCCTCCTCCCTGCGTCCCTGGACCAGCCAGTAATCTGCTGCAGCATCGCTGCATTCAATGAGAGAGATTTTTGTAGCTGGAAATGTACTCCAGAGGGGATTTTATGAAAGAATCTGAGAAAAAAACCTTACAATGGGTCCATGCAATGCTCAGCAGCATTGAGCAGAAGAGGGTATTTACATTTCAGGTAGGGATTTGTCATTCCAAGAAAGGAAGGACGGGTGGGAGGAGGTGTTCCAATTTCAATGTGAATTCATAGAAGGCTGTTCATGCTTCATAGCTCTCACTGAAAGGCCTGAAGGGCTGTTCTGAAGCAGTCTGTCTGCTGGATGACCTCTGAGTTGTGCATCACAAACACCCCATTTGTCTTCATTTGAGATCAGTTTGCTCCATGAGCTGCCCTGCTGGCATGCACCGTGGAGTTCTGGGAGTCACAGGAGCCTCTAGAAGGGGCCCCTGACAGGCAGATCGGAGAACGGGAGGGACTTGGGTGAGGTATGGTCACTAGAAGTCTGTCATCTGGGACTAAGGAACACAAGAAGCACAGGAACTGTGACCCAGGACTCCTATTCCTTGCGCCATTTCAGCATCTCAAAACATGACTTCTGTTCACAGTCACTTGAGGTTATCCCAAGTGTTTCAAGAGCTGACATGATGAAGTTGGCAGCTGCTTGGAAAGCGATTATTCATGTAACTCATCAAGTTTTAGAAAACTCAGTGTTGTGACAGAGCTCTTATCACTCTTTCAGGCAAGGATTTCAGAAGTTCTCATTATTTGCGTTCACAGTATTGTTTTTGTACACATTACATCCACCAACATCGATGTTCTACTGAAATTCTTCTGTGGCAAAAAGGAGTCTCTACAGAATATTCCAAAGCTAAAGAGAAAACGTGCTTTGGTACTTAGGCCGATATTATCACATGGATTAGGTGGGAGAAATCTTTCGAAGAGATATGGTGCGCATTCCCAACTTTGAACAGTTTAACTGGGCAGGTGGTGGGGGGCACAGAATAGTTCTTTTGCACTCATTTAGTGAAATTCGTTTTGAATAATTTTATTTGGGAAATGAATGTGTTCTCCATGATAAAAAGACACACACACACAGACGTTGCTCAAGAAAAGGAATGTGCTAAAGTAAACATAACCAACTCAAAACTGTGAAGTTTTGGTTTTGGTGTGTTTTTTTTTCCAAATAAATGCATAGTATCTGACTGTCCTTCACCGACAATATGCACCTTCTGGTAGAAAATGTGCATTTTAAGAATGAGACCATCAGCGCAGTGGAATCTCAAAGGGGTTGGAGGGTTGCCCTCAACAGCTGCTGCATATAAGCATGAGACAGACAAAAAACTACACATGTTCCAAAGCCCAAATGTATTTTTAAATTGCAAGCTATTCTCTGAAATAATTTCAAATAGCTCTCTATCTTAAGAAAGGTTTACGATTAACTGATATCTTATTTGTACTTTCTACCAATGCCGGTTAGTGCCCACATTTGGATCTTCAAATTTTCCACTGTGTACTTTTTGTCTGGAGAAAACCTTGGACTAGAGATAAGGCCATTTCAAAAAATGTATTTCTAGCAGCTCACCCTTCCACTCCACGGGCTTGAGGCTGTGCCGATATCATGAATTACATACTGCTTTTCGCCTTTGTTGGTGTGGCTGGTGAGTATGGTTTTTGCTTCTATGATCATAGTTTCTAAGGAAGCTCCTTTTCTGAGCAAATTTCCAAGGCAGTCTATTGTGGGAAGATGAAGTCCAGCTTCAATTTGCAAACGTCTTAAGGCAGAGCACTGCAACTTCTTTGGACTGCTGTCTTTTCATAATTGCTTGTGTCACAAAATGGGGAACGAATGCCTTCACAGGGGTTCTTGATGCAGGAATACTGAAACGCATCCCTAGCTTCCAAAAAAGACTGTCTCTCTCTTAAGGACTGGGAAGTATGAAGATAACACCTCTGGCCCAGGAAGTCCTAAAGCTGCTTTGAACTTTTGGACTATGGGCAAGTGCTTGCCCACCCCTGCTACCATGATTTTTTACAGAAGTAGAGCGTACAAGTGAGATGCTTCAGTCGGTCAGAGGGGCACAAGATTCCTTATGCCAGATGTTGACGTATGCCACTTCTTATCTCCCAGTTGCCTTACCCATCAACGCTGATGACGATGACGACAAGATCGTGGGAGGCTACACCTGTTCGGAGAACTCTGTCCCCTATCAGGTGTCCCTGAATTCTGGCTATCACTTCTGTGGAGGTTCCCTCATCAGCAGCCAGTGGGTCCTGTCAGCTGCTCACTGCTACAAGTCGTGAGTGACAAAAATTACATTCTTCCATAACTTGCTTCTTTCTTCCAGTTCACTTTAGCAGGAATTCTGAGCTGTGAGATCCAAACATGTAAGTGACTCCATTCTGATAGGAGATGACCTGGCATGGGTAAGATCTCAGTGTGGATCTCCAGGACTTATGGCAGGACAAGAAAGATAACCTGCATGGAAAAAGCTACTATGGTAGCGATGTTGAAGCGAGCGCATACGGTGACGGGGAGGTCGGGGAGGTTCCTCGTAACCTGTCAGTAGCACTAAAGTACGTGCCATTCCTTCTCTTTTCCAGTCGCATCAATGTTCAGCTCGGGAAACACAACCTGGCCCTCACAGAATCGTCAGAGCAGACCATCAGCTCATCTAAAGTCATCCGCCACTCTAGCTACAGCTCCTCGTCGCTGAATAATGACATTATGCTCATCAAGCTTTCCAAAGCGGCCACGCTTAGCCGAGCTATCCAGACGATTGCTCTGCCCACCAGCTGTGTGACCGCAGGCACCACATGCCTCATCTCTGGCTGGGGCGCCCCTCGCCCTCACTATTGACTCCCAACAGTACAGGGTCAAGCACATAGAAGTGCTGTGGGACAGGCCTTTCCGAGTGGTCGGTCCGTGTAGGACAGTAACCATTTAACTGTTTTTAATGATTACTTTTCTGCTAAGAAAGATCTTCTCCAGTTTCTGAAATTAACTCCGAGATGCCATCAACCATCTCTCTCCATTTTCTTCTAGCTAATTACCCAGACACCTTGCAGTGCCTGAAGGCTCCTGTACTCTCCTCAAGCCAGTGCTCTTCAGCCTACCCTGGGCAAATTACCAGCAACATGATATGCGTGGGATACCTGGAGGGAGGGAAAGACTCCTGCCAGGTAAAACGTCTGCCTCCCCTTTCCCACACGTTTCTCTCCTGCCTTTTGCTAGTAGAAGAGGCTTTCGTACTAGAGAATCTGCTGTACTCACTGCACAGGCATGCCTGAACGTTGTGTTTCTGAGCGACAGTGCAGACTTCAGGTGGAAGTTGCTTCATGAGTGAGGCGAGGGTTTTGTCCACTCAGTTAGTCATTGTCCCTTTTCTGACACCGTGAATACATCTGCCCTAGTTCTCCATGAGTAGACTAAGCCACCTCCAGCACCTCGGGCTGTTCAAAATCCAGGAGAGCCACACAAGAGAGTCAACAGCAATCACGGTGTCATTCAAGCTCAGGACACAAATGTTAGTTTTGGACTCACTGAAAATGAGACAGAGGTAGAACAGAATATGCCAAGAGTCAGGCAGTCTGGAAAGTCACCACACCTGACAAGTGCTCTGCACTTGAATTGCGCCTATCTGCATGGCAATAGTTGGCAGAATAATGTTTGAGACACACATATCCTGAGCATCTTCCAAGGACCGCATCCATCTAAACAGGCAGCTTACTCCTCCTTAGCTGTGGTGCCCTTGGAGCTAAAGCAAGGCACGGTAGCAGCAGGGGTGGAGCAGTAATCAGAAAAGACCTGTGTAGACCTTCTGTGTAGAAAAAGCCCAGTCGAGCTCCCTCCACTGTCCGTGATGTCTGGGATCGCTGGCTCACCACTTACGCTGACGGTCCGCATCCTTTCTGTGCGCAGGGCGATTCCGGCGGTCCCGTAGTCTGCGATGGGGAGCTCCAGGGCATCGTTTCCTGGGGTATTGGATGTGCCCAGAAAGGCTATCCCGGGGTTTACACGAAGGTTTGCAATTACGTCTCCTGGATCGAATCAACTATTGCTGCCAACTGAGACGCTCGTCTTCCGTGCGACTTGCTTTTTCTCTC